TTTGAAAAAAAGGCATTATTCCTCATAGAATGAGGTTTACCAGATTGACAAAACCACCGTGTTCTTTCGATTTACTGTCGACAGAACGCTACAGTAGTCTAGGCGCAGGTACAATTCTTTTTTAAAAAAAGCTACTTCTTTCGAAAATACTCTGTAGTCTAGACACACCCTCAGCTGTGAGGCTTTGCTCTCTCAGCCCTCTCCCAGGGCTGGGTTTTACCCTTTAAGGGACAATGCAGGTAAGACACCCAGTCTCAAGCATGCATTAAGGAAAAAGGAAAGAATACAAGTTTACCATCTGTTTTCACGTACATGCATGTACAAACACAAATCCATAGCATTTTTGCATGGGGATCTGAGTTCTTTCTGTCTCTATTGTCTTCTGCATGCCATGTCTCATTAGGGTTGCCAGGTATCCGGTTTTGAACCGGACAATCCAGTATTTGAGCTTTCTGTTTGGAAAACAAATTGAGAAAATATAAATGAGAAAATATAAATGTCTGGTATTTTCTAAATAAGTTGTATTATAGATTGTGATGTAATGTCAAGTGTGTCCGGTATTTTTGTTGATACCATCTGGCAACCCTATATCTCATTATATAGGATGATATGATGTCAGCATCCATGAAGACTGACAGTCATCAATTATATATGAGCTATGTTGGTCCATTTTAAGTACTCAAGACTACAAGAAAAAACATCTGTAGTTCATAAAATATCCTGGTTTATCTCCTGATGATCTGTGCACATAGGGATACCTCTACGCAAAAAATCTCTTCCTCCTGTAGCACTCTTACCCTCACAGAGTGTGCTATGCAGGCACTGGGCTCCTGGAGGAGGTGAATCATAGAATCATAGAATCCTAGGACTGGAAGGGACCTCGAGAGGTCATTGAGTTCAGTCCTCTGTCTCATGGCAGAACCCAGTACTGTCTAGACCATCCCTGATAGACATTTATCTAACCTACTCTTAAATATCTCCAGAGATGGAGAGTCCACAACATCCCTGGGCAATTTATTCCAGTGTTTAACTACCCTGACAGTTAAGACCTTTTTCCTAATGTCCAACCTAAACCTCCCTTGCCATAAATTTAAGCCCATTGCTTCTTGTTCTATCCTCCGAGGCCTGGAAGAACAATTTTTCTCCCTCCTCCTTGTGACACCCTTTTAGATACCTGAAGATTGGGTAGGACACAGGAAGGTTTGGGGCATTCATCCTCATTCCTTCCTAGTGCATGGAGAATACTCAGAAAAGAACATGCAGTCTGAGCCTGTATTTGGTCTTCTGTGTCATTACACTACTGTCTCAGGGGCAGCAATGGGCTTTGCTGGTGCTGGAAAGGCTGCCATGGCTAAGAACTGGCACAGTAATACATGGCCCAATGTGGGTGATCTTTGAATCTCCCTAGAGACATTCAGGCTTATAAATATCCAGTAGCTAAGGGATGGACCCAGCTCCCTATTCATGAGTGAGCAAATCCCACCTCTGAGAGAACCACAAAGGAGAAATTTCACAAGGGTATTCCAGTGTCACACATTGTGGTGATTTTCTTGTAAGCCTCATGATATTTAGTATTTTTCTTAAAGTACCAGCTCCTGGATTCCTGTGATTACAGAATAATCTCAGCTTTCGTTTAAAAAAAAGCAAATTTCTGGTCTTCATGATTGAAGAGATGTGCTTGAAAATATGGCCCACATACACCCTAATGGTGATAAAATGAGACAGTAAATATAGAGGGCCCTATATAATCTATTTTTAAAATCAACCTATGGGGCCTAATTCATGGCTTTGAACATCTATAGTCAATACTGGATGTCAATACTGGAATTCTCATGCAACTTTTCTCCTCCAGAGCCTCTTAATTCCATTTGAGGGAAGGTATACACTGTAATCCACTTTTTCACCACAAAAGAAAATCAACCTTCTGCTAGTGGCATCTAATTCACATTGTGAAAATGAACATGTGTTGGTCTAAAAATAAAAATTAATGGAGATTGCCTATCTCCTAGAACTGGAAGGGACCTTGAAAGGTCATTGAGTCCAATCCCTTGCCTTCACAGCAGGACCAAGTACCATCCCTGACAAATTTTTGCCCCAAATGGCCTCCTCAAGGATTGAACTCACAGCCCTGGGTTTAGCAGGCCACTGCTCAAACCACTGAGCTATCCCTCCACTTTGGATCAATACTAAGCAGAAGCCATCATCAGCATGGAGTGGTGGTTGAAACATGAAGGAAAACATGTATCTTTAGTGGACCTTGTAAGTAAGAAGCAGGTAGCACTATCTCCTGCAAATTGTAACCAAATTTGTTTGAGTGATTGGCTGAACAAGTAGTGGGACTGAGTGGACTTTTAAGCTCTAATGCTTTACATTTTTAAATTTAGCGGGTTTTGTACATAATTCCATTTTTATATTTTTCAACTTTCATGATGAAGAGATGTACTGCAGTACACTTATTAACTGAATTTGAAAAGGACTATTTCTTTCATTTTTAAAAGTGCAAGTATTTGTAATCAAATATACAAATAAGGTGAGAACTGTAAGTTTGTATTCTGTGTTGTAATCAGTATATTTAAAAATGTGTAAAATGTCCAAAAGTATTCAAATAAATGTTATTCTATTCTGTTTAAGAGTGCAATTAATTCTGTGATTAATGGTGATTAATTTTTATCATGCAATTATTCATGATTTTTAATCACATAATTGTGATTTTTGAAAAATTACTTGATAGCCCTAATTTAGATTACAGACAGTGGGGCTCACAGACTCACCAGGCCACTGGGCAAGCTGGGAGGGGAAGTTAGGAGGGTTCCCTGAACCCCCATAAGGGGCAGGGCCTCAGGTCAAAGGGATGGGGCTGGAGCTAGGCATCCCTCAGCACTGCCCACAAAGCACAGTCCCTCCCTCCCCACAGAGTGCACTGCACAGGGATCCAGCTGCCACTTTTAAAGGACTTGGGGCTCCAGCTGCCCTTTTTGCCACAGTAGTGATGGTCAGGAGCTCCAGGCCCTTTTGTGTATAAAACTAGAAGACTTATCCACTACTTTTTGGATCCTTCTGGGCAGGGGGCTTGCAGTGTGGCAGGTGCAGGAACTTAGGGATATGTGGGGGCTTGGGGCAGGAGGTTGGAGCTATAAAGTGCAGGAGTTGGGTATTGAGGAGGGGCTCAGGGCAAAGTGCAGTGGTATCAGGGTCAGGGTTGAGGGGCTGCTCAGGGTTCAGAATATGGAGTGGGGAGTGCAGGTATCAGAGCAAGGCTAGCTTCTCCTTGGGGTTGGCCTGGGGCAATGGGGACTGTACACCCTATCCACCTGCTTTTCCCTGGGGCAGGATGGGCTGCACACCCCTGTGGGGGTGTCACGCTCTCTGCCTGCCAACTTCTCCCTGACACTGGCCCCGGGCCATGCAACCCGCCCACTGGCTTTGGCTCCAGGGGGCACATAGCATGCCTGCTGGTGCTTCTCAGGCCTGACCCAGGGCTGTCTGGTTGCAAGAAGTTGACCCCTGGGGCAGGCTGTGGTGGTAGGGGTGTGCTGCCTGCAAACTTCTGCTCAATGGGGCACTTGTTGCTCCTAGTGGTCATTTGAGAGTATAACTGTCCCTGCTGTCACACTCCTCCCTTTCTGTTTGATACCAATCACATTCCATGCATATATCATTATCCTGGCACAACCAAACCCTGACCTTGCTTTAAGTTATACGATAAGAGGAAGCTGCAAACCAAATTTGATGGTCCTAGCTCTTAACACATTTAGGAGGAATTCTTGAACAAATGGAGACACAGATGGATGGATAGACAGGTGCATATTTCTAAAATATAGAGTAAGATATGTATCTATCTACACATATCTCATTACTTGCATCTGTTCTGTGAATGAAAGAAACATATGTGTTTCAAAGCTACCGACTTTAACTTTTGATTCAACAAATTCAGGTTTCTCATATTTAAAAAAAAAAAAATATGCATTCTGCTTTTCAGATGTATACTGTATATGTAAATATTCATTATTACAGGGTACTATATACTTTGCACATTTCTAAGAACAGTTGTTTTGAAATGATTAAAATAAAGAACAAAATTAGAAACAAAAAATAACTCAAAGCAGGAAAGATTCTTTGAGATACAGGAAGATAAGAGAGTGATGCCAAAGATTCCATCCAGCAATTCATTGTTTCAGTTTATTTATTTTGGTTTTACACACTCAATTGTCCTGGGTTAGTGATAAGTATCAGTCTGGACAGCACAAGTCTGCAGCTCAAAATACTTTTTTTTTCCTGTGGAACTAGTATAATTGTTTTGTTTAAACTTCTCCTAACCTACCATTTTTATCTTTCTTTGCTAATGCATTTGCAGTCACGCTCTACTAGATCATTTATAATTTGGGACCATTTTTCAGCACTTATCACCTGAACATATCTCTGTGTCTCTTCTTTGTAATACAGTTACACAGTCATTAGTGAGTTTAGAGCTATCCCCAAGTCTCACAGGCTAATACCATGGCAAATCAATATGACCCGATAAAGCATCTGAGAGTAAAACATTCTAGTGACGATATATTGACCCTTGTGATCAGTATGAAATTAACTCCTCACAAGGACACAAAATCTGCTCTGTAGACATTTGGAGCAAAAATTTTCAGTCTGAGTTATGCGACAGATCCCTCCCCCCCCATGCTTTATGAAATGGACTTATGAACACAAATATGCATAACTCAAAGTTGTTTTGAGCAAATTATCTCATGTAACCTATCAATCTTCACGTCTTAATTCACTGTATCTGTTTATCTTATTTTGGTATATGTATCATTCTTCTGTGTAAAGTTAGGCATATGGAGTATGAAATGCTTTATGATTTTCAGTGTCTGGGCAATCACATGCAAAGAGCCTTTTGTCCTGAAGTCTTAACAGTGGTTGGTAGGGACTGGCCAGGTGACTTCCCATGCAAAAAGGAAATCTTTAAAAGCAATAGGAAAATAGGAGTGTTTTGTCTTTGGTTGGCACACCAGAGGAAAGGAACCAAAGAACCCAGAGTGAGGAACAGTCCTGTTTTTGGAAGGCTTTGCTGGAAAAGAAACAGTTTTAGGGTGAGTTTGTAATAAGTTTGTGTACTGAGGTTTCAGTGTTAAAGTTAGCTTAAGCGTTTTCTGTTATTCTGAGTTTGTAATCTATTTTGCTCTGCCTGTTCTCACTCACGACCACTTAAATCCTACTGCTTGTGCTTAATAAAATCACTTTTATTTTCTATCAAGCTCAGTGTAAACAATTGTTACCGGGGGATGGAGGGGGGGGGCAATCATTGTGTACATTGCCCCTTTCATTGCTGAGGGGGCCTACCTAAATAATTTCTTTGGGGTTCTGATCCCATTTGGGGAGTGATATCCTGGGAAGCTGGGCCCTAAACTGCACTTTGCTTGGACCTGACAAGATTCAGTGTCTGTGTTGCTTCTCGGGGGGGCATTGATCTCATCTTGGTACCTTGACTGCGGGAGACCAACAGAGCTGGCCAAGCAGGATCAGGTGGTGAGAGGCCCCAAAGAGCAGAAAGGCAAGTGGCCGTGGCCTTGTCAGCACTTCAGGAAGCACCCCCAAGGGGTCTTCTGTGACCACACCCTGTCACGGAATCTTTTCATTAATCAGTTCCCAGCAGAAAAAAACCCACTCAATTGGCATAAGGTCTATTAAGGACCCTAACCAGTGGCACAAATCAAGAGTTGCCCAGAAGCAGTTCTTCATTACTCTGGGGCCTGTGATGGCCCTGAAAATTAAGGAACCAGAACCAAGCTCTCTGGTGGCCAGTCCTTCTGCACCAGATGTCGGAATCAAGGATTTAGTGTTTTACCACATATCCTACTGAAGAGAGATTTAAACAAGCAACATAGTTTCATGTGACATGTTCAACCCCTGCAGACTCAAGTGGCAGAATGAGAAAACAATTCAGTACTGAGGGAGGAGTAAGCAGGACTTCCCATAAACTCTCACAGAACAAACCAGCCTGCTGCATACCACTTGAATTATTCATTAGTGAAGAATAAAAGATTTATCAATAAAATCAGGGTCAGGTTGCCCATAGCAGAGGCTTGGAAAAAGAGGATGCAATGAAACACAACTGTAGAATGCTATATGTTTTGAATGTGACCTTACAATCTTATCATGTTCCTGTATTTGCCAATAATAATAAACTGATGCCAAAAAAAAGCATCTGACCTATGGCTTTACAGATTGGACAGAGCTCTTGCAAAAATCCTTTGTATTATCAAGTTCTTTGCCACTGCCTGAGTATTTAAGGTTCTCTCAAGTATACTTAAAGTTACAAGAATTGTGCTTGATCTTCCTGTAGAGCTATTTGTACAGCACCAACTAATAAGAGAGGAGCTTCAAAAGATTGTATCATACGCATAAGCCCAGTCACCAATGGTAAGTCACTGTTTTTCTTCTATATTGATACTATGTGATATGGTACCGACTGTAACATATAATAGAACATCCTTTCATAATTGACGGGGCTATAGGCAAGTGTTTAAGTTATGCTGTGTTGCTGTGATTACAGTGTAGATTGATCATTTTCCAACTCTGCAGGAAAAGCTTGTTGTTAAAGTCACTGTGTACAGCAATCATAACGGCACTGACAGGTTGCTGTCAAGTAAGCAGGGGCATTCTGGAGATAGATAGCACAAATGCCGAAACCAAGACAAATGCTGTTGGAATAAGTAATAAATCATATCAGCTGTCTCTTGTGCTTCTTCTTAGTGTATTGATTGTGATTAAACTAAACTAATTAGAATCGTAATCATGATGCACTTGTGGAACTCAGAATTGTGAGTTCTGCAATATGATCATAAAGTGTTGTTTAGCAATAAAGCCAGACCAAAGGCAGTCTTCTTCACCTAACCTTTCTCAGGGAGTCTTATACTGTAGTCATATTTTAGAAGTGCCTATCAGTAGTGCTGATGTCTAACATTCAGATTATAGTATGGCTTGCAAAGTATCCAAATACAATCTACATTTGAGCTGCAGTGAGGAGCAGGGGTGAAGTTACTGGCAGCCATTTTAAATCAGATTGAGCTTAAACTAGGTAAACTGCACATGAGCAGTGCAGCAGATCAAGTTACTTTTGTAAGTTCCGCTGCTCTTTTTATTCATATGCCAGGAAAATAATTCTCAGTTTTTCATTTACATTCAACCTCTACACACCTTATTTTCCAGATCTAGTTTCTTTTCGTTTTGCAAAAACAAATTAATGAGTGAATTTGGTGTACTTGGGGTGGAGAAAAGACTATCGATATTAATTTACTAGTGTAGATTTTCACATAGCCTTCCAAATATTGTTTAAAACTTAAATGGTGTAACCTTGTTATTCCTGCACTGAGATGTTAGTAGAATATGGCTGGGAACACAGTTTACAAAACTGCAGATTTCCAATACATTTGACAAGATACTTTGAATATGTTCAATTCTCCATTTCCTTCTATCAATATTGGAAGTCATTCTAAAAGGAATACTCCATGCTCAGTCACAAATTGTAGGATTAGATACTGGCATCCCTAAATGAGATTCTCTAGGCTGCGTTACACAGGAGGTCAGAATAGATTACCATAATTATCCCTTAAAATCAATCTATTTATGATTTTAATATGTTAAGGAAATCAATGCAATTTAAAAATCACCTCATTAAAACATTCTTGAATAAGATAAAACCAGGGAAGGATGCAGCTCTGTTACCACATTATCTTCAAATCCAATATGTGTTCAACAGACAAAGAACGTTCCAGAATATTAGGATTTTAACAGTAAGAATTTAGGCAGATTCAAGAGCTAAGAACTTCTGAATATGTCACACTTTAGAAATTATCGCCCTAGAATATTTTCACTCTCCAGGATAAAAACTATTCATAATATGAACATATAAACATAAGAACAGCTATACTGGATCAGATCAAAGCTCCATATAGCCCAGTATCCTGTCTTTCAACAGAGGACAATGCCAGATGCTGCCCAAGAAAATGAGCAGAACAGATCATTATCACCTATCACCCCATTCCTAACCTCTGGCAAATAGAGTCTAGAGAGACTATCCTGGCTAATAGCCATTGATGGACCTATCTCCTATGAATTAATCTTTTTTTTTTATCCTGTTACAGTATTGACCTTCACAACATCCTCTGGCAAAGAGTTCCACTGGTTGACGATGTGTTGTGTGAAAAAATATGACTTTTGTTTGTTTTAAACCTGCAACCTATTAATTTAATTTAGTAACCCCTAGTTTTTGTGTTTGAGAAGGAGTATTTACTATCTTCACACCAGTCATAGACCCATAGATGTCTCTTTTTCAAGCTGAAAAATCCCAATCCCTTTAATCTCTTCTCTTACAGAAGCTGTTCCATATCCCTAATCATTCTAGTTGCCTTTTTAAGAACCTTTTTGATTCCAATAGTTCTTTTTTCAGATGGGATGATCATATTTGCATGCAATATGCAAGATGTAGGTATACTATGGATTTAATTAGAAGCAATAAAATAGTTTCTGTTTTACTATCTAGTCTTTTATTCATTGATTTCCAATGTTCTGTACTCTTTTTTGACTCTGACTCCATATTTGAGTGGAAGTTTTCAAAGACTATCAAAATTATATCAAGATCTCTTTCTTGAGTAGTAACAGCTAACTTAGGGTATGTCTACACTACAGCACTAATTCGAACTAACGTAGTTCGAATTAGTTAAGTCGAACTAAGCTAATTCGAACTAGTGCATCTAGACCTAAAAACTAGTTTGAATTAGCATTTTGCTAATTCAAACTAGCATGTCCACATTGAGTGGACCCTGAACCGAGGTTAAGGATGGCCGGAAGCAGTGCCGGCAGGGCATCAGATTAGGATTTAGAGCGTGGAGCTGCTGTCTCAGGCTAGCCAAGGGCTGTGATTAAAGGGACCCGACCCCCACCTCGGACAGACAGTTCTCAGGGGTTCCCTGCTTGCAAAGCAGTCCTGGCTTGGAGTGCCCTGACTGCCCACACTCGGCACATCCCCAGGCTACCATCCAGGGTGGGGGGTCAATCAGGGGGCTGCAGGAGAGCTTCCACCCCGAGGAGCCCACAGAGCCACCCAGGTCCTCCCCATTGGGGGCTCGTATCCCATTCCTCCCTCACCTCCTTCCACTTACCCCTCCCTAGCCCTCCTTCCTGATGTACAAAATAAAGGACACGTGTGTTCAAAAATAGAAACTCTCTTTATTTAAAAAAACTGGGGGAGGGGATTAACCTCTGGGGAGACTGGGAAAAGGAGGTGGGAGAGGGGAAGAGAGAGGGTGGGAGAGGGGAAGGCAACTAAAATGATCAGGGGTTTGGAACAGGTCCCATATGAAGAAAGGCTAAAGAGACTGGGACTTCTCAGCTTAGAAAAGAGGAGACTGAGGGGGGATATGATAGAGGTCTATAAAAGCACTAGTAGTGTGGAGAGGGTGCATAAAGAAAAGTTCTTCATTAGTTCCCATAATAGAGGGACTAGAGGACACCAAATGAAATGAATGGGTAGCAGGCTTCAAACTAATCAGCTAAAGTTCTTCTTCACAAAGCAAATAGTTAACCTGTGGAACTCCTTGCTGCAGGAGGCTGTGAAGGCTACAACTAGAACAGAGTTTAAAGGGAAGTGAGATCAAGTCATGGAGGTTGGGTCCATGGAGTCCTATTAGCCAGAGGGTAGGAGTGGTGTCCCTGCCCAAAGTTTGTGGAAGGCTGGAGAGGGATGGCACGAGACAAATGGCTTGGTCATTGT